GAACTAGTCCTGCGAAGTTCGGGGTTCCACGCTATCTTAAGTTAGCTTCACGCTGTCAATGCTCAACGGGAATTCTTACGAAAATTCCCCAACTCGCAGTTTAAAATCTGAACAACATACAGCACCGCATGACAAGCTTTTCAAATTATTCATACACAAAAGTCAATAATGATAAAATCTAGTTTTTTTTTTACTGTTTATGATAGTAGCGAAACTAGTTTTGACATTCTCGTACCTGTCAAACTGATTGTAGTTATAGTCGTAAAACGTTTTCTCTATTGACTGTGAAAACTGTTTTTACAGGTTGGACTTGTCATACCAGTTCTGGTAAAAACCGATTTTCACTGAATACATTGATGATTGGTACATTATAAAATTGAAGTGATTTATGATAACAAGTTTGTTTAGGCTCAACTCAACGTATTCAATCCTTCTAAATCTGAAATATTGATGAAAGGATGTGATAAAACGAAATAAACCATAAAGTGAACAAAGAGGGCCAAAGTTGAAAGACGTTTATTAAAAATTAATGAAAGAAATTACACGACCCAGTATCTTTCATTGTATGAGTGTTGTGTTGAATGTCGTTTTCAACAAGGAAATTATCAAGTGATGAGGATCGCTTAGCGCAGAATAGGTTAATATTTTTGTTTGTGTTTGTTTGAAGTTTCTTCTTCCAAATTAAAGCTAAATAAAACAAATAAAACAAATTAATGAATAAAATATGTAGTCAGACGTTGCTGTAAATTTTGCAGTTTTTTGTATGTGTGTGATCAATAGGAATTCTATAAATATTCAGTTTGACGGTGTTATTGGATTGTGCTTCGTGTTTATTATTGGATTTGCTTTTTTCGCTTGCAGAAAAGATAAATCCCAAAGGTAAAAATTGCAGCAAAAATTACATTTTCACTGTTTGTTTATTAAGCCCACATATTGGCTTGAAAAGCAGCAGCTTCGTTCTAACGACTTTGTAAAAAAATATGTGTAACATTCAAATGATATTTATTATTTGATCAAAGTAATTGCTTTCAGCATACAACGCAGTTCCACACCAGTTCATCGATTGATGAAAAATTACAGCGATTTTCGCACTTTTCACAGATTGTGGTCTCTGCGAATGTGAAAGCTTAAGATTGTTTTAAAACGGTAAATCATCGCATTACTTACGAGCACGATTGGTACGAGTAAAAACGGCGTTTTTAGAAATTTTGAAAAAAGTCACAAAAGTATTGCGAAATTTTACAAACTGCAAGACCTAGAGTACGAAAAAATAAGTCTCCGGTTTCCGTCTGTCTGTGTGTCTGCCTGTCTGTCCGTCTGTCTGTCTGCCTATCTGTCCGTCTGTCTGACTAATTTTTTAATCCTATAATATAATGTTAAATGCTATATTTAAGGATGTAGTTAATCAAATTTAATGTAATTACGTTTACACGTAAAATGAGTAAAGGACGCATGTGAGTGTAATGTTTGCTGTAGTTTAACAAACTTTTTTTTTCATTCCAAAAAATACAGAAAATATTGTGAAAAGTTAACCACACCTGCTGATTAATGAAGGCATTATATTAAGAGATAAAAAACGTTCTTGTATAAAATGGAATTTAAACGGTGAGTGAAACTCTTGGCGCATTTTTTTATTGGAGCGTTTGTAAATATAGGGGTGTTTCTTGTTGTTCTGCTTCTAGTGAGAAAGCAGTCCATGAGCTAAAGGGAGACACACCGTACCGTGTTTTATTTGAAATTCTTTGAGTGTTCGTGTTGTTTTCCATGAGTCAGCAGTTGAAAATAATAGAGTTCAGCACTTAATAACAAGGTGATGCTTACATTATCGGCTGACGTATAGTGATTCTACTAGTAGAAAAAGCGAAAATAATAATTTTGCCAATATAATTTCGTTGCGAATTGGGATAAAATCCAGAAGATGGAATAAATTTAATACGAGCTGGATTCAAGGCAACCCCGAACGCCAACAAAAAATGTATTACATGAATTAATGCGAAATGTTTCACAGAGAAGCAGTACATAAGACGGTGTCAGAAATGATTTAGATTTTTTGTTGGTCTGGATGTGGAAACTGAAGTTTACATTAAAGATCAAATACCGACTTGGATGAGGTTCGGATTAGGCGGAAGAATTAAGTATAAAAGATAACAAGTTCAAAAGGCAATCGCCAAAACTAATAAATATGGATTTTATGCTAGGTTAGTATTACCAATAAGGTATTCTGTGGGGAAATGTCGATAATTTCAACCCCTAATCAGGTAACAGGTAGAGCAATAAAGTCTTTGATCTTCGGAAACGGTTCCTTGTAGAGCAGATAATCCAGAGTGGATTTCACGGCGTTATGATCCGAGTACGAGGAAGGTAGTTCATGTCAATAGATGCGGGCACGCAAAAGCCCTTACCTTCTTTAGCGGATTTACACTGTCACACAAACTTTGACTTCTTTAAAATATTCAAACGGATAAATATCGGAAGACCTTCCCACAACATCAGACGAATCTAATTACATTCAGCTCCTCGTTTGATACCCGTCGATGCAGGAATTTTAACCAAATTACTACATTTTTTACAACGCATTGTTGTGTTCACTTACTATAATTGAATTCATAGCTTTACAGATTCTTTAGAAAGGCATCAATCAAAATAATCAGCTTTACTTAATTAGTTTTGCTATCCGACATCAATCTGGAGAAGACACCGATTTTTTAATTAAAGTCACGTTCAGGGGAGTTATTGTGTTGATAATAATGCATCTTCTCTTAACAGATATAACCAAAGTAGAATGAGGAATTTCAACACTTTTTTTAATATCGAAATTCTCAAAATATCCCTCCAATAGCGCACCGAACCAGCGGAAAGATATTGGACGGTAAACGCCATCCAATGACTGCCATCTATATATAATTTTCACACAGGAAACAGTACCCAATTATCCCAATATAAAGGACGTGGGACTGATAAAACTAACCAATTTTAACTGTTTCCAACGAAATAATTTCTGTCTGACATATAAATAAAACATTTTACCCTATCATGCTTATTATTATATTATTATCATACACACAGATTCTTTTCAATGTGATTTTATTAATTTAACACTATTGTGGGTATTAACAAACACTCACCAACCTACTTTTACGTTTTCAAATTCGGGACAACACTGGATATGATGTGCGGACATTTTACTGGCCAAGTGGCCAACTACAAACGAATATACCTATGACGCACTAACGCGTCATGCGCGCGGATACACCGCTTGTATGACGCCGTATTACGTCTCACGCACTCAACGTGTGAAACAAACAAAAATGCTACTAACTCATTTGAGTAGAAACGTTGCAAGAAATGCGCCTTTATTAATTTACACAACTTCACGAATGCAACTCTGAGATGAAAAAAGTCTCACCTGCTTCTACTGCGTTGCATTTCCGTAGTGAAATGGCGAAAAACCAAAGTAAAATTATATGTTGCGAATATAACCCGGATTAAATTGGAATTCGGATATTTTGTAATTACAATTTCAGTCTGTTGCTTTTGGTTCGGCACCACTGTAATTATATGTTTGCCTAATCTTATCTTTATGAGCGTTAGGTGTTTATTTAATGGCACAAACGAACCTCATAATTATGGAATTTGGAAAATCCTCGCAATATTAAAGTTATATCAATCCAGATCCAAATCACGAGAAATATAAAGAAAGAATTCTTTTATCAAAATTAAGATACATATCTCGAATCGTTTGTCTATTATAGAGATCGTTGGAACAGAATGTTTTTTGTTTTTTCGCCAAGTTAATGTTGTAAGTGAGTTGGAAGCGAAATCACAACGACTTGCTTTCTACAATATAATTAAATTTTTGTTGATGCGCGGAGAATAAATACAGTGTGGCCGCAGCATATGAAATGAATTTAGTAACGGTCAGAAAAGCAGTTTCGCAAAAAGGGTGACATAGGTCAAAAGTTTTTTCACGTAGACTACATTTTAGAAATAAATTTGAAAATTTTAGGCTACCGATATCGGTCTTAGGAGTCAACAAACAACAAACATGGTCTTTAAAAATGGTCAGATTTATTTCCAAACTATCCTAGCTAGTCAAATTGATTAACATTCATGTCCGAGTGTGTTTGTAAAATTCCAGCTATTTATTTTTTGATTTTATAATGTGTAATTGCGGAAGTATAATCCGACAAATTCTGTTTGTTTAAAAAATTATAAACTTTGATTCAGCGATTTTTGTTTTTGTGATAACCTCTATAAAGTAAAAACTAGCGACATAAATGGTGCCCCTGCAACCCCTGTGCGGACATTGTAAAATTAAAGCAGAACGGGAAAAATGTCCTCTCAGCACTAATACCAAACTTAAGTTTAAGTGTTTATGTTTATACACAAGTACAGGAGTACTTGTTGAATAACGTTTAAATCATTTTAAGATAGAATTCTTTGAGATGACGTCATCAGATTGTTGATGGGATGATTAGTAAATTGGTTAAAATTTAACCATCTATATGATATTCCTATTGTAGATACAAAATTTGCCTCTAGGGGTCATGAAACGTCAAGAAAACATGAAACTGGCAAGTTGTCCCATGGACTCGATTACTATACATCCTTAGCTCATTCTCGGGAAGTAAAAATCAATGTTATTGAACACGGTGATTTAACAAGAATAAATGCAGTGAAAAATAGACAATATAACATAACGGAGATTTTTAATAATGAAGAATTAAAATACAGATACAGCAAAAAGTGTAACTAGATTTCTCAAGGTTTTAAAAGTTGGGTGAGAAAACTTTGATTATTTTTTCATATCTTACTACCAGTCAAATGTTTGGTATATAAATATGGAACAGCCTGTATAAATTTGTGTCTGATGTTTAGAACGACTTGTAACAGTGAGAATTTGTTAAAATGTGTTAACCCGGTTCGTGTTTGTAGTAATATGATTTGAATGTGAGTGATAAGTCGTAAGGTCGGACTTTTGAGTTGTTTGTCTGTTTCAGTGCCACCCAACATAGATGATTCCCTGAGCAGCAGCGACGTTATAGTAAGGGAAGGCGCCAATGAGACGCTAACCTGCAAAGCCACGGGCTCTCCACAACCTAGTGTGAAGTGGAAAAGGGACGATAACTCCAAGATCACTATAAACAAGACACTTACAGGTTAGTCTATGCTTTTACTTTCTAACTTGTTTCACATATGTTTTCATATTATTTCGCAAAGTTTCTTAACGTAGATTGCTGCCCAAACCAAGCGTATTTATTGCGACTTTGGAAAAAGGGGAACAACTTTATACTCAGCGCGTTGAAACTAATGCAATTATTCTGTGACTAACGACCTTAATAAATATATCTGACAGATTTTTTCCTCACGTCCTTAATTCGTTCCCAAATGTTAATTGTCTACAAATCGAGAATTTAAATAGTTCGCTCGTACGAATTTAATTTCGGGGATTAATTGTCAAATTGCTCACAAAATACGACAAAAATTAGTCAACCTATTTAAACTTCTCTCAACTCGGTTTCATACAATTAACTAAATAAATTCACACGAATTTTAAACTTTTCGTGCATCGTTACTCTAATTTGTTCCGTTCGAAAGTCAAAAACTTCCATATAAAAATGTTTTAGGGTTATGGTCAAAATAGTTTTGGAAAACTGGAAAACTTGTTTACGAACTTCTTTGTAAACAATGTTTCTGATCATCCTTAATTGACAGTTTGCTTGTTTTATTAAAACAAATGATACAACTTTTCTGCATAAATAATAAAGACAAACGAAAATGAGATGTAAAACGGAATGGCCGCTCCATGGTCGTTGCGTGGACGGAAAAAATCTCACGGCGTTATTACAGCCCTGGCATGTGAGGCCCATCGATTTTATAGGCAAATACCATTAATTTAACAAGCTAAAGCCTAATAATGCGAAAAGTGGTTTGCTCAAACACTTCCAAACAGTTCGTAAATTACATTATGGGAATATATTACAATACTTCGATGTTTCGATTTTTTTACTCGTGTGTATTGACTGATATTATCACAGGATCGCTTTCCGGCATTTCTTTATTGTACACTAGTGATTGATGCTTTTTTTAGAACACTGTCCCACTTCATAAATTATTTAAAGGTAATATCGAAACACCTCCAACATCTCAGGGGGTTTTTATAAATTATTTATTCTACGTTTTCCAGTGGATCGCCAATTTTAGTATGATATTATGTCATTTTTGCTTACAGACTTGTTGCTTATTTATTGAAGTGATATATATTTATAACAGTCATTAAAATAAAAAAATACTTCCAGTATATCGAAAATTCCCATAAGGGAAAACAGGCTAGATATGTGACTGCGGAACTGTTGTAATTTACCACTACAGTAACAAATATTGTTACTTGCCCATATACGTTTATCCTGTGTTAATTGATTTAATTTAAACGTATTTTTACTTCCCGAGCGTAAGCAAAGGAAGTATTGTAATCGAGTCCGTCGGCCGACTCTCTACTTTTACGTTTTCTCGATCTTTCATGACCCCTAGAAGACGAAGAAATAGGTCTCCCATTTCCGTCTGTCTGTCCGTCTGTCCGTCTGTCCCTCCGTCTGTCCGTCTGTCCGTCTGTCCCTCCGTCTGTCCGTCCGTCTGTCCGTCCGTCTGTCCGTCTGTCCGTCTGTCCGTCCGTCTGTCCGTCTGTCCGTCTGCCGTCCCGGATTTTTATTAGAGAGATAATCTCCGAAAGTACTCGACCGATTGTTGTGAAATTTTGTACTTATATTAAGAATATCATGTAGATGGTAAAACGCTAACCACAATTTGTCTAATCATCCCCACCACTAATGCGATGACGTCACTTCAAAATTGTACATAGTAAATGGGTTTTCAATTGTATAAAATAACATAGTCCTACACATGTAGTTTACAACTCTGAATCGACTTTTCACCCGAAACGTCCAGATTTTTGGAAAAAAAATCAAAATTATAAAACAACATTTTGAAATTTAATTTTTAATCTGCTAACCAGAATGCTTTGAAATGTTGCAGATGTTTTAAGGCTCTAAAGAGCATCATAAATCTTTAGTCAAAAAATATTTGCTTATCCCCTCAAAAAACTTGATGACGTCAGCTCAAAAGTTTGTGGAATAAATCATATCTAAAATATACAAAATATGATGAGCCTGTACTTATGATCTATCACTCCATTCATATTTTTTGGATTTGCATATACAGGGTGACTCAAAAAAATTAATGAATGCGTAAATTTATTTCACTGATTTACTCAGAAACTACAAAACCGAATGCTTTGAAATCTTGCAGATGTTTTAAGGTTATAAAGAGCATAATAAATGTTTAGTCAAAATATATTTGCTTATCCCCTCCAAAAAATTAATGACGTCAGCTCGAAAGTTTGCCGAATAAATCCTATCTAAACTGTAAAAATATGATGAGTCTGTACTTGTAATTTATCACTCCATTCATATTTTTTGGATTTGCATATACAGGGTGACTCAAAAAAATTAATGAATGCGTAAATTTATTTTATTGATTTACTCAGGAACTACAAAACCGAATTCTTTGAAATCCACTGCGAAAAAAAAACATAATAGGCATGCAGTCGTCACGTTTCCGACAGCAAGGGAAGAACTGTCTAAACTCTTTAGACCAATTTTTTTAAGTGAAAATTTTCCAATGGTCCCCCCTTCTTCACTTTTCGGCCAAATTTTGACATTTTCAAAACTTAACTAAACACATTTTCTTGTAGATTTCGAGCTCTAGAAATCACTTCCGGGCTCGTTTCTTTGATAACTGCAACCGTTTTTCCGGAATCGGCCGTTGAAATATCGAGATTTTTAGAAATTTTCAAAAATTCGCATTTCCTGCCGATTCTTCCGAAAATGTTCCTCCGTGACCATCAACACGCTATATTTTTGGAATCAGCTTGTCGAGATCTACGTTCCTGAATTTTTTCGCAATTTTTAGACAACTTTTTTTTTAAGTGAAAATTTTCCAATGGTCCCCCCTTCTTCACTTTTCGGCCAAATTTTGACATTTTCGAAACTTAACTAAACATATTTTCTTGTAGATTTCGAGCTCTAGAACTCATTTCCGGAATCGTTTCTTTGATAACTGCAACCTTTTTTCCGGAATCGCCCGTTGAAATATCGAGATTTTTATAAATTTTCAAAAATTCGCATTTCCTGCCGATTCTTCCGAAAATGTTTCTCCGTGACCATCAACACGCTATATTTTTGGAATCAGCTTGTCGAGATCTACGTCCCTGAATTTTTTCGCAATTTTTAGACAACTTTTTTTGAAGTGAAAATTTTCCAATGGTCCCCCCTTCTTCACTTTTCGGCCAAATTTTGACATTTTCGAAACTTAACTAAACATATTTTCTTGTAGATGTCGAGCTCTAGAACTCACTTCCGGCCTCGTTTCTTTGATAACTGCAACCGTTTTTACGGAATTGGCTGTTGAAATATCGAGATTTTTAGAAATTTTCAAAAATTCGCATTTCCTGAAAATTTTCCAATTTCCCCTTCTTCACTTTTCGGCCAAATTTTGACATATTTTCCGCAATAGTTATTAATAATAAAGTAGAAATTCGCTAAAACGCCGCACTTTTACGCCAAAACGACGCGATAATCTTGCCGCCATCCAACAGAAATTAATAGTGAACACAAAGAACCGCGACACGTGACCTTCGGACAGCTAGCTCAGGTGACAGTGACGTCATCGTACGTCACGATGAGATTGCAAGAATTATTTTTCATATTTTGGCCGGGAAAATGCATATTTTCGGGGATAATTTAACAATTTTTAAACAAATTGATTTGTTTTTAATAATTTCGGACTTGTAGGACAACGAGTTTCGATTTAATTATCATATTTATTTATGCTTATCATATTTAAACATTATAAGTGATATTAATTATGTTTAAAATTTATAAATTAATATCGTGCAAATGTATAGCTTTGATCAACCAACTTCAATCGTTTCGAAAATTTTCCCAAAATTTAAACATTGTCGAGTGAACGAATCACGGAATCCGATAAATTAAAACTGAGGTCGTACGTACTTACCCTGTTTTCGGTCCTTTTCGGAAAAATATCCATTTCGTTCGTGTTTACACTACTAATACAACACATTTTCACTAATATTTATTAATAAATAAATTAGAAATTCGTGAAAAGAGCCCTACTTTTAAGCCAAAACGGAGCTCCAGTGTTGTTGCTACCAGACCGGAATCAAAACTAAACACAGAGGACCGAAAAATGTGACCTTTTATCAGGTAGGTCACGTGACAGTGACGTCATCGTACGTCACGATGAGATTGCAAAAATTATTTTTCATATTTTCGCTCAGAAATTGTACATTTTCGGGGTTAATTTAACAACGTTTAAACAAACTAATTTGTTTTTGCTAACCTCGTGTTCTTAGGAAAATGGTTTTCAGTTTAATTATCACATATTAATAGTTATCATATTTAAACATTATGAATTATATTAATTACGTTTAAATTTTATTTAATTATATCGCGAAAATGTATAGCTTTGGCCCACCAACTTCACCGATACATCGCAGCATAGATCTTTTATCAATAGTGCCAACGCAATGTTACAAAACACTAACATTGCTGATTTAGTGATGACGCTTATCAAAGAAACGACTCCTATTAAAGGTAGAAGTTGCCAAGGAAAAAAAGGAAAATGAAGGAAAAATTTGTTAACAACTTGTCTTCACATTTGTCCTTATAAATAATAAATTAAATGTAATACATTTTTGTTTCCTTAAGAATACAAAGTTAACAAAGTTAGTTGAGTTACAAAAGTCTCTTTTGCTCCACGTTGGCCACCAACGAGCGATTTTCAAGATTTTTGTGAAACTTTGCTGGTTTTGAATTTGAATTTTCTGTCCTCGATAGTTGATGTTCAGCAAGAACCACGGGAAGGTCTGGAGCAGATCTCGCTAGGAAAGGAGAGGGCTAGGATTTGTTAATGAGGGATAGAACGTTATACAGTACAATACAAAAGAAATACAATACAGGTACCTACAATCTAACTACAATACAGAATACACTACAAATACAGATACAATTTAGATACAAAACAAATGCAAAGTTAGTACCCAATTCATCACCGGAAGAAATTGCACCAAAAATTGAGAATG